TGAGTTCTCTGTCTCCTATACCATTTTTTATCTCTCCTCATCTATTTTATGCCTACCAATTATGCTTCTTATTCCCTGTACCTTTCCCCCCCCATTCCTCCCTTCCCCCTTCCCACTGAAATCTCTCCATTTGATGTCCATTTCTCTGATTCTGTTCCTGTTTAGTTGTTTAGTTTTTGTTTTCATTGTTTCTTTTCTTTTAGGTTCATTTGTTGATAGTTGTGAGTTTGTTGACATTTTACTGTTCATATTTTTTATCTTCTTTTTCTTAGATAAGTCCCTTTAACATTTCATTAATAAGGGCTGGGTGAAGATGAACTCCTTTAACTTGACCTTATCTGAGAAGCACTTTATCTGCCCTCCCATTCTAAATGAAAGCTTGGCTGGATAGCGTAATCTTGGATGTAGGTCCTTGCCTTTCATGACTTCAAATACTTCTTTCCAATCCCTTTCTGCCTGCAAGGTTTCTTTTGAGAAATCAGCTGATAGCCTTATGAGCACTCCTTTGTAAGTAACTCTCTCCTTTCCTCTTGCTACATTTAAGAATCTCTCTTTATCTTTAATCTTGGGTAACTTAATGATGATGTGCTTTGGTGTGTTCCTCTTTGGGTCTAACTTCTTTGGGACTCTTTGGGCTTCCTGAACTTCCTGGAAGTCTATTTCCTTTGCCAGATTCGGGAAGTTTTCCTTAATTATTTGTTCAAATAAGTTTTCAATTTCTTGCTGTTGTTCTTCTCCTTCTGGCACCCCTATTGGAATGTTTCAGGTTGCCCCAGAGAGTCCTCAGCCTCTCTTCTTTTTTTTGAATTCTTGTTTCTTCATTCTGTTTCAGTTGGATGTTTATTTCTTCCTTTTGTTCCAAATAGTTGATTTGAGTCCTGGTTTCCTTCACATCACTGTTGGTTCCCTGAATATTTTGCTTTATTTAATTTTTGGTATCTTTCATTTGTTCTTTCATTTTTCGAACAAGCTCAATTAGTTCTGTGAGCATTTTGATTACCAGGGCTTTAAAATCTCCATCAGATAGGTTGGCTATCTCCTCCTTGCTTAGCTCTCTTTCTGGAGCTTTGATCTGTTCTTTCATTTGGGCCACATTTCTGTGTCCCAGCATACCTATTAAGTTGTGAAGTGGGGGAGGGTTTAGGTATTCACCCTGGCAGGTCAACCCTCCTTGCTGCTTGTTGGGGAGGGGCCAGAGAGGGAATAATGCAGCTTGCCTGCTCTGCTCTAGCCCACTTTCTATTGAACTCTCATGTGAGACTGGGAGTTTCGCAGTAGTCCACAGTGAGGTCTGAGTCTCAGTTTCCCGTTCAGCCAGCCCTGCTCATGCAGTCCACTGCCTCAGTGCAGCCAGCTCTGCCCAACTGCAGCCAGTTCTGCCCATATGGTCTGCCACCTCGTTGTGGTTTCTCTCAGTGAGTCCTGCCCACACAGTCAGCCACCTCATGGTGGATTCTTACTGGTTTGGTTTTTCTGTTTGGTTGTTTCTTTAATTCTTTGCTTGTTGGAGCTCCATGCATTTTGATTTTCCTGCACTTTTGGTTGTTTATTGATTTTAGATTGATTGTTATCCTCCTGGTTGTGTGAAGAAGCAAAGCATTTCTACCTATGCCTCCATCTTGACTGGAACTGATGAAGTCCATTTTAAGACTTTTTTCTTTTATGGTTACCTGGGACACCTAAAATAAAATATCCCTGTCTGGGCCTGCCCCAGAGACTTGGTTCAGTTGGTCTGTGTTAGGGCCAGCCATTAGTGCTTTTTAATGGTTGCTCAAGTGCTCCCAATGCACAGCCAGGGGTAATAACCTAGCACTAAAAAGAAATGTGCCCTGAAATGTTGAAAGCTCTAGAAAAATGAAGTCCTGAAAAAATAATTAGGTATAATCCAAGTGAACATGGAGGAGGACCCTAAAATCCCACTGTGTCAGCACAAGGAAAGTCTCAATGAGGAGGTGGAATGAGGCACATGTAAGAAGGATAAGACATCACAGAAGAGGCTGGGGTGCTGTGCCAGCTCTGGCCTCAGGCCTGTACAATACTCAGAGAGCAAAAATAGACCTGATAAAATTGTGTTTGGGGCAAATCAATGAATGAGAGGGGCGATGGCCTGGAGTAGATGGGGGACAGATGGTGGAACTGCCCCGCTGCAGTTTTACTTCTGTGCCTGATGCCTAGAAGCAGACTTTCCAGCACCAGTGAAGCTGAACACAGATGGCTGAGAGGGAAGAGAAGCTGAAGATGGACAGAGAGATAGTGAGAGAGTCCTAAGCATCTCTGTATGAGTCCAGGCCTCTAGGCCTCATAAATTACAGCCTGGGAACTGGAAGACTTTGCTGAGTAAGTGAGGAATGATGCTGTAATCTCTGAAAATCACAGAGCAAGGGAACTGAGCCAGAAAACCCAAGATGAGAAAATGTCCAAGTTTCAATTATGGGGTGTTAGAATTGTCAGGTCATAGCAATGTCCAGCATTTGCCCTGAGGAGGTGCCCCTTGAAGACGAGGCAGCCCCAGGCACCTGTCCAGGAAGCTCATAATCGCCCTGCCCACAGAAAAGCAGTTTAACTGCAAACCCAGGTGACAAGTTCTCCTCTCTGGAGCAAATCCTATGAACACAGGCCTCAGTTGAGAACATGTTCAGTCCTCAGAAGCTGTGATTCCGATTTCTTTGCCCATGACAAGCATTACCACCAGCCTCACACTGGTGTTCACTGGAGTACAGATCCCATGATACTTATCTGCTATCTCCACAGAGTTCTTCAAGATCAAGTATTCCACAATGATTTATTTTCCATCCATCTTCTTTGGTCCTCCTTGTGAAAAAATAAAACCAGATTGCTAAGACTTGGATATGGCTAGAAGGCCTTCCATGGCAGCTCGGTGGCACTACACTGTTACCTTCTCTTGTAGGAGTAATAATCATATCATTAATTACTTACACTTATTGAGCACCTACTCTATGATAGGCTAGTGTTTCTCAAATTTTAAAACTCTTGAGTCCTCAAGAATACATGTTCAGCCCCAAAGAGATCCATAGACTCCTGGTTTGAAAGGCACTAGATTAAAAGTTAAGGGCTGGTAAATGCATAAATAAACTGTGGTATATCCAGACATGAAAAAGCATGGAGGAATCTTCAATGTATATTACTAAGTGAAAGAAGCCATTCTGAAAAGGCTCTATATGATTCCAACTATATGATATTCTGGAAATCATAAAGACAGTATAAAGATCAGTGGTTGGCTAGGGTGCAGGAGGGATGAATAGGGAGAGCACAAAGGATATTTAGGGCAGTGAAACTATCCTTTGTGATAGTATAATGGCAGATACATGTTGTACATTTCTCCAAACCCATAAAATACACAGCACCAAGAGTAAACCCTAATGTAAACTATGGACTTTGGATGATACCAATGTGTCATTGTAGGTGCATTGACTTTAACAAAGGTACCACTGCAGGGAAGAATGCTGATAGTGGGGGAGGCTGTGCATGTATGGGGCAGGGGGTATATGGGAACTCTGTACTTTCTGCTCAACTTGGCTATGAATATAAAACTGCTCTGAAAAAACCTATGTTTAAAAAAAAGGAAGTTAAGAATGGAGAAAAAACATTTTGTAGAGAACATTTAGACTCCTGAAATTACTCCTAAGCCCATTTGAAGAAATAGTGTGGGCCTGACCTATGTGGCTCAGTTGGTTGGGCATCGACCCATACAGCAAAAGGTTGCTGGTTCGATTCCCAGTCAGGGGACATGCCTGGGCTATGGACTAGGGCCTGGTCCCTAGTCGGGGCAAGTGTGAAAGGCAACTGATTGATGTTTGTCTCTCACATTGATGTTTCTCTCCCTTATTTTCTCCCTCCCTTCCCCTCTCTCTAAGAATAAATAAATAAAATCTGAAGAAGGAATATGTGAGGTGTTTCATACACATTATTTCTAATTCTTTAAATCACCTGCAGAGTATATATTATCCTTATAATTTTAGAGATGATTTAACTGAGACAGGATTAAATAAATTGACCAAATCACAACGTTAGTAATTGGCAGGACAGGATTAAACTCAAGTCTTCCACAAGAATGAAAAAACCATGCTCTTGACCTTGGCACCCCACTGCCTCTCACTGCAACCTCAGCTTACCTTCAGAGTACTTACCTGGCTGGCTTCAGCTTGTTCTCAGGCCTTTCTCAGCCTGCCTTTCTTTGCATGCTTCTTCCTTCATCCCCACTGTGTTGCTGCCAGGACCCACGAGCTACCTCCAAATCTTGCCAACCTCTTTCTACACTAACCAGCCCCTTAACGAGCACCACTTCTACCTTCAGCTTGGATTCACCCCTTAGCCTCACCTGTATATCAGCCCTGCCTTGCCCAGTCCAACCCAGCAGCAGGAGCTGGGCCACTATCCTGGTTTAAGGCCCAATCATAGCAGTTTGAGCCATGATATGGGAGAACCCATGGCCTCTTCTCCTGCTACTAGAGGAGATCAAGTCTTTGTCACTTCCAGAAGATGTTGTCCTACTATCTAAGATCAATTAGAGACCAACAGTAGATACCATCTAAGAATTTGAGGTGGCAGTTATTACATCTTTGTGAATAGGTTTATAATCCCATCTCTGGTGCCTTTTGAAATAAATGGCACCAGAAATGAAAACCGTATCAACACTGTGAGTGGTAGCTCTCAAGTAACAGAATAAGGGCAACAGTCATTAGCTGCTTCACAAAGTAGAACTGTGAGCCCAATTTTAGCATTGTTATAAAGAAAACTATCCATAAATTACTGCATCAACAATGCCTGTATCCTGATTTCCTCTCTTCTCTAAGACATGGGAGCAGATGGTTCATACTTGTCTGGGAGCCAGTTTCAATAACACTGTTATTCTATCTGTCCAAAAATGGGTAGCAATATCTGTTACCTGTTTAAATGCCTTCTGGAATTTTGGATAATGCATTATCTATAATACTACATTTTAACATTTTAATGAGTTCACTTTAAGTGTAATTGCCATTCTAACTTTATATGTGAAGTTAAGTTCATAATAAAGCTGTTATTGTATGAAAAAAGAAATGGAACAAATGATCAGCTAGCCAGTTGGAGTTAGAATTAGTGGGCAGAGCTTCAGAGTACCTCGTGACAGCTATTACATATTTTCTCTATTAAGGTGAGGCAATGCCTTCTGGAAATCAAGCAGGTGCTGTGCCATGGCAAAACAAGGGGTCATTAACTGAGCTCCATATCCCAGAGTCCTAGCCATGGTCTACTGAGGTACCTTAGAGAGGTTGGTGTGGCTCAAGGACATCACTCTCCTGTGAGCCAAGACAAACACCATGAATGTCAAGGCCATTAGTGATTTCATATTTGAGAGTTGAGTACACGTTCAGTCCTCAGAAGCTGTGATCCTGATTTCTTTGCCCATGACAAGCATTACCACCAGCCTCACACTGGTGTTCACTGGGGTACAGATCCCATGATACCCATCTGCTGTCTCCACAAAGTTCTTCAAGATTGAGTGTTCCACAATGATTTATTTCCCATCCATCTTCTTTGGTCCTCCTTGTGAAAAAATAAAACCAGATTGTTAAGGCTTTGAAATGGCTGGAAAGTCTTCAATGCTAGTCATGCATGGCTGCTGCCCAATTCACTAGGCAAGTTTTTGGCAGACTTGTTCTCTACTGGATTGCACTTTCAGAGGCCTTACATCTACTCAGATAAGTAAGGCACAGACACAGACATAATAGCCTTCTGAATTCAGCCTAATCACTAAGCAAGCTTTCTATGCTCACCAAGCAACAATTTTATTATAATTTGGTTTCATGCAAAATTGTCTACAAGCTAAAAATATATGGATTAGTGAACATGAATATTCCATCCTCTTATCTTTTTCAAAATAAATTATTTAATAATCCTCCACTCTATAAGAAATGAATCTGTTTCCTATTGCTACTGTTAAAAAATTACCACAGACATAGCAGATTCAACAACACAAAATTATTATCTTAGAGTTCTGTGCATTAGATATTAAAATTAAGGTGTGGGTAGGGCTGGCTTTTTTCCAGTGGCTCTACAGGAGAATCTATTTCCTTGTTTTTATCAGCTTTTAGAGGCCACTTGCATTCCTTGGCTCATGGCCTCTTCCTCTATGTTCAAATCTAGAAATGTTACATGTCTCAGACCCTTCTTGTGTTGATTACATTTCTTTATGTGACCACAAATACAAAAAGTTCTCTATTTTTAGGGACTCATGTGATTACACTGGGTCTAGCCACATAACTAGGATAATCTCCCCACCTCAAGATCCTTATTATAGACACATCTATAAAGTCCTTTCCCACATAAATAAATATATTCACACATTCTGGAAATTAGAACATAAACACCTTTGGGTAGGGCATTGTTCTGCCTACCACAAATATAAAAGGTAATCTTAATGCCATTTATACTTTAAGTGCCTCTCATAATCTCAAGGTTTGTGAATTAGAGTTTATGAGATTGGTATCATATATCTCAATTTTTTAAGGGAAGAACTATCTTTCATTTGTTAGACTTAGCAGCATCACAGAACAAATTATTTGTCAGAGTACTTGCTAAAGCCTACAATATGAGATAAAACTATCGGACTATCATCTATCTATGGCAAAGCAGTGTATGATCTTTTAGGGAAAAGGTTTCAAGTACATGTTAATTTCTCACCCTTTGTCCTGAAGGCCCTGATTTACAGGTTAAATATATAACTGTAGAAGTAAAGTTTTTTTCCAGCTGATGGGAGTCAACTGGAAATTTCTGGGTCATACCAACTTCAAGCATGCCATCCAGATGGGTCAACATCATCCCCAACACACCTTCCCCCTTCAACTCGGGTAACCAGTGTTTGCACTTTGAGGACTTCCCACTAATAAACAGCTGTTAGAAATTTATACCTGTCAAGAATCATTCACTGGATCTTTGAGACCTGAAGAAATGAGTTACCTCTTTATGACTCACAGCAACCTTTCCTGGGATGGGGTTGGTGACTTCATCATCACAACTGAACCTTGTCTGTCCTCTCCTAGCCTAAAAACCAACAGCATAGTGAGACAGCAGGAACCTAACATCCCACAGATTATTCTCCTTCAAAGAGACCTAGACTAGTGCTATCCAACAGAAATTTCTTCAGCGGTGGAAATGCTCTGTAATAAACAATGTTCGATACAATAACCACTAGCTACTTATGGTTACTGAACACTTGAAATGTAGCCAGTGTAACTAAGCAACTGAATTTCTTATTTTGATTAATTAATTTAACATAAACACTCACATGTAGCTAATGACTACCATATTGAACAGGTCAGATAACCATGTAGACCATCTAGGGGAAAAGGAGAACTTGGCCATCAGACTATACTTTGATACCATTGATCCCATCTAGAAGAGTAGGATCAGGCACTCCATTATACCATGCATGGGTCAGTGCAAGCCCAAGCATTTTCAGAGTCTGTGAGGCTGAAACTAAGCATAAAACCTACTGATTCAACATCAATATCCAACAGTATCCAGAGCATCCAGAACCACAGGTTTTCTGTTCTGGCTCACAGGATGACCTGGGTTGTTCAAGGCAACAGGTGCAATGCATTGGCAAGAATGCCCAGAAGTTTGCACAGCTTAGCCTTGCTGTCTTTGCATCTCTCAGTAGAAAGCAGCAGTAGAAAAGGCACAGACCATGGGTGCTGCTTGGCTATTGTGCCAACCACAGGGTAAATTTCCTATCTAACACCCAATACCTAGACAGGGTGGTCGCACCTTACTTCTCAGTTTGCACCTGCCATTACATTTTGTAAGTTGGAACTTATAGCAGTTCTAGAAGGAGATGCCAACAAAAATAGACACATTCAAGGAGTGTTCCTGGGTCAACTCTTCATTCAGTCTCTGTCATTTGCTCAGTAACTCAACCCAGTAACTGGGTTATGGGTGTAACTGGTATTATCCTGAGCTCCCCAAGGCAGAGCCTTTCACTATTATTCCCCATACTGACTGATGCATTCACTAACATAGCTTATTTCTATCAGACGCACAAGAAATCCACGGTGGCTACAACTGCCCACATGTGCATGTGAAGTGCATTTTATTTTTATAAATGCTCTCACCTCTGTTGCTTCCTTAAAGTAGCTCCTGCTTGTAACCCAATTTTTGAAAGTAGAAGTTTAAAGATCACTTTTCCTCTGTGCTCTACTGCCACCATTACTAAGCAATCTCTGCTCCTTACAGTTAAATTTTCCCTCTAACACCCATTTGTTCTACTACATTTACCCCAGTTCCTGCCAGCCCCCAAATCTCTAAAAGCAATCAAGATAGGAATAACTACCAGTTCAAACATCCTACTGACAGGCCAATTTATACATAATCTTATACCAGATCAAGTCTATCTATAAGATTAAGTTGAGCAAACTGTCTCCCAGGAGCCTAGTATAGATATTCACCAAAATCCCCCAAATCCACCCAATTATTCCATACACAACACTCTAAGACAAACACCACTTCCTAGTCCTATTTCCCATTGCATCAGTCATCCATTCTGATGGACTGGAGCTGTATCCCCATACCAACATTTACCTCTTTCATTCTCATCTTCTCTGTGATGCCATGTCACAACCACAGCACCAAATGCTTCCTGTCCTAGCAAAGATGCTGAAGGATTTTAGCTGAAAAACCTTCAGTTCCTTGTGAACTAGAAGATCTGACCTGTTATCATACTTCCTACATTAATGACATCTGCATAATGATGCCTTTCTCTCACCAGTAAGTATCATGTACCAATAGACTGAGCCATGGATAGAGGAAAATTAGGTCTCAAGGGAGAGAACTTTTAGCCCTGACCAGTGTGGCTCACTGGGCTGGGTGTTGTCACACAAAGCAAAAGGTCGCCAGTTCAATTCCCAGTGAGGGCACATGCCTGGTTGCAGGCTCAGTCCCTGTTTGGGGCACCTTTGAAAGGCAATGGATCAATGTTTCTCTCTCACATCAATTCTTCTCTCCCACTCACTCTCCCTCCCTTCCCCTCTCTAAAAAATAAATAAATAAAGTCTTAAAAAAAAAGAGAGACCTTTTTAAAGGGCTGGTCTTCAAAAAAGGCTGTTCACTTGTTTATATTGAATGTATGAATATATGAACAACTGGATTCAACAAACATTGTGTGTTCACCTCCATGTGACAAGCACCGGGTTAAGTATCAAGAATCCCAAAATATTTTCTGGTCCTCAAGCAACTGACAATCTAGAGGATACAAAAATAAATAAATAAATAAATAATTACACTAAGAATCACTATGTCCTATGAAAGAAATAAGATAAGAGCACTCAAAGAAGGGCAGATCCTAACAGTGGGAAGGGGAAGCAGGCGGTAGGCCAGGGAGACATTCTGAGTGGAGTAGCAATTAGTCAGGTGGGTGGGGTTGGGGGCAGATATTTCTGGCAGCAGGAGTGACATATTCAATAGCATAAAAAAGAGCAACTACAATATGACCACGCAGACCATGGAATGCCAGCGCCTGAGGTGTGCAGGATGAGGTGGGCAGGGGTGGAAGGTGAGGCTCCCCAAGGGATGAGCAGCTATCTCCAGCTAAAGGCCTTGATTTTATTCTGAAATAGAATAAGTAATAGAAAAACTACAGGAGGATTTTTAAGAAGGGGAGAGAGATCTTTAAATCTGTGCTTCAAAATAAGGACTCAATCCATGGTGTGGAGACAGAATGAAAAGCCAAATCTCAGAGGCAAGAGGACCAGTGAGGTAGCTGTGTGGTGATTCTAGAGTGAGATAACAAAGCAATGGGGAGGAACAGGCAATTTTAGGAAATATCACAAGTAGAAGTATCTGCGGTAGAAATGAGAAGGCTTGGTGATTAAATTGGGCATGGGGAGGGGACAGGAGGATTCTGGGAGGACACTCTGATTTCTGGTTTGGACAGTGCATAGTGTCATTTGCTGAGACAGGGAATGAAGTTGTCCCATCACAGGGCCCTGTGAGGCAGCTCACTTCTCCAAAACCACTCTTATCTTACGTCAGCTTCACCTCCCCATCCTCTGCATTCATGGCTTCTGGTTTCAGTCAAACATCAGCTTCCAGACTTTCCCTGTTCAGCTGGTTTACTCCCTGAAGGAGCACCTACCTGCCTTTGTTTCATTCTTGATCTTTCCCTGTCCCTTGATGCATCCTTGAGGTAGATTCTTCTAGTTAACTCTCCACTCCAATTTAACCAGCCCTGACACCTCTGTACTTAACTCACCACTGAAGCTGCCTTCGTTCACCACCCCACTAGCCGTGGCCTTGCCTGTCACTCCAGGCTCTCCTGCAACCCACCACAGCCTGAACCCAGCTGGTTCCGAGTCACTCAGAGCCCGACAAAAATATGGGTTGATATAATACACAGAAAAATTCTAGAACATACTTTAAAAGAGATGTTTATAAACCAAAGTACAAACACTATCATTGAACATATGCTTGAATGAGTGAAAACTAAGCTCCAGAGCTGAGGGAGGGCCTGTTTGTGTTCATTTTCCTCCAATGCACTCTACAGGTTGCTTTTCCTTTATTTACATTGGGCAGGCTCCTCAGAGAAGACAGGGAACAAGATAGAGTGCAAAGACAGGCTGGAGGCCAATGATGATTTAGCTGCTTCACTTTGTGCTGTGAGGAGGTCTACTTTCACCAAGCGAAAAACTTCATAGAATTTTCTAGCAAACAAAGCTTTGAACCTACCAATATAAGTGAAATAAACTGTAATTTACAATAGTTTTTTTAACACCTGCTTTAGAAATATGAAGAATTATTAGGAAGAGGGATTACCTGAATTATTCATTGCTTCAAAAAATAATCATTGATTTTCTATGATGTGCAAGGTTTGTAAACTGCCTCTCAGCAATTTACAGAATAGTGGGATGCCACCAGGAAAGGAATTGGAGAAGAACTGCTATGCATGCCAAAATGTTGGACACAATAATTTATTAGCATAAATTATATTATAGTTATAAGATTTATAAGGCTTTTTCAAGTGATGAAATTCAGTGCTGGCAAGTTACTGAAAACAATATACCCACACCCTGCTGGTAGCAACGTAAACTGATACAATTTTTTACCAAAGCACTTTGATGGTACACTCAAGGGCCTTAAAATGTTCAGATCCTTTGATCCAGTAACTTATGGAAATTTTATGTTAAGGAAATAAGCCACAGGAAGTTAAAAGTTATATAAAGAAATATTATCATTGAGCACAATTCCTAATATTTAAACTTGGATCAAAGCAATAGAGGACTATTAAAGTAAATTATAATAAGACAACTCAATGAAATACTATGAAATCATTAAAATTTCAATAATAAAGAACTGTAGCAACATGACAAATGTAGAAAATAAAGTGCTGAGTAAAAAAGCAGAATATAAAGTTGTATCTATGTTATAATTATAGTTAAATAAAAATATATTACTATTTTGCCTACAAATAAGGACTGACATAAACATGAAAATATCCAAACAATTTTATTTATTGTTAAGAATTTGTGTATGCATTTTTTTATATTGAAGTGTATTGAAAAGCTTGGTACCCAGAGAAAGTCTGAGAGTGCGCAAAAAGATTCCCACCAGGCTAATGATACCCTCTGCTTCCAGATTATGGATTTGAGAGCCCATTATCACTAGTTCCCAACCTAAATGTGTCCCTTCTCTCAGGTGCAGGGAGAAAATTGAATTCATGGCATGAGACACTTCAGGTTTAGGGTTTTCACATAAATAAGGCACAAGGCACTGTATCTCCCTTTCAGTTCAGTGGAGATGCAGAGATGCATGAGGACAAAAACTGTGTCTGACACTATCATAACTGGAAACTGGCCTGTTTCACACAAGCCCTACAAAATGCTATGAAGTAGTGTTCTTTCCATAGGAGAAAACAGACTCCTACTTTCTGTTGGCAAAAACAAACACTCAGAGAGGTTATGGTCTGCTCAAGGTCACACAGCTAGTTAGTTGGTAGTGGAGCTGATTTTCAAACTGATCCCAAAGTCTTTATTCTACTCTCTACATCACTT